AAAAAAAGAAAAAGACGGCTGCCAAAGAAAAGAACAAAAAGGAACTGCCTCTCAAAAACAGAACATGCAAAAGAAAAAAGAAAAAAGAAAAAAAAAAGAAACCACATGAAAGAATGTTATTGCAGATAACATTCTTCCAAATGGAATAAAGAACAAAGAAAAAGAAGCGAGAATAATGTGATCGCTAACACACATCCTCGGATGATATTGATGAACCATTTTGTTAAAGCGACTGTGTCAGTCTACGAAAGAAGATGTCACCAAAGAGTAACTCGTCAGTTAGCAACGATCGTTTCGTTCAATAATGGAAAAAGATGACTTCCAATAGTAATATACTGCTACTAGTTATTTTTCGAATTTTTGAGATTTTGCTCTCCTATCTTTTTCTTTTCGAGCAATTATAGCACTTTCCCGACGATTCTAGTACCTTCATAGAGCAACAGTCTATGCTGTAAAGATAATCATAACCCATTACTTGTTTATGAACTGATGCGCTGAATTAATCTCTTTTCAACGGCGAAACTGTAGCTCTCTATCTTGTTCCTATTTCTCATGTATTGACAGATACTATTCTGAATTCTTGAGAAAATGAAAACATTCAGCAGTTTTTTCATTTATACGACAATCTTTCACATTTTATTGATTTTATACTGTCGGCGAACGAAACACTTGACATATCTCATAAAGAATATGAGACAAAAAGGAAGAGAATTGAGTCATATTCTGTTCCTTTCAGCGAAATCTTGATACTATAGAGACACATTTTTATGATATCAAAATGAATCATTTATATATCAGAACGAATTCTTTTTATATCATTCGAAAATTTTGATAAAATGTCCTATTCAAAACAAAAACAAATTACAATTGGTAATTCAATGGAAAGATTCAACATTTCACTTAATGATATTGGAAAAATAATATATTATTTAAATCGTGTTTGTCATTGTATTAGTTTTAATGATTTAAATGAATATACGAATTATTTCAATTATTCATCTTTATCTCATGAAGATCAACAATTTATATTTTCCTTGGCTCTTTGTTTAAGTCCAGATTTATTTATTGGAAAAATTTTCTTTCCCGACGATAAATTATCTGACTATGGAAAAGAAAAATTCTGTCAAATCGGTTGTTCATCAATACTTCCTTCACCAGTCATCATCAATGGAGAAACATATCAGACTAAAAGAATATTTATTTTTCATGAAAAATGGTTAAATGAATATTATTTAGATCCTATGAATAAACTCGCACAACAATTTCGTTGTCAACAACGATCAAGAAAATATTGTTTGGTTACATAGTATTTAACGTTTAATTAAAACAAATTTATTTTTGTTGTTAATATCAATGAAAATAACCTTGCATTTTTGTTCGTATTAGATATTTATTTTGTAATTATTGATAAAATATTTTTGAAATAAACAACCGTGATAATTAATTAAAAAATCAAGATTTTTCAGATAAATAACAAAAAAACTTTTTCGAAACAGGAGACTGGACTGAAAGATCATCTCCTATAAAGGCTCGTGTTATAAATAACTTGATTTCCTTGGAAATCATTCAATTTTGTTTTTATTGTCGTACGTTCTATTAACTAGACCTTTAAATTATACGTAACATTTTCTAATGTAAATACTAAGATTGTTTTATATTCATTGTTAACTAAAATCAGATATGTAAAATACTTTAGATGCCGTTCATTTTCAATAATCAATTCTGAAGCTGGCATTCGAGTCGAAAACATTTTGTCTATTTGTCTGCTACTCATCACAATTACGCGTTTGGCATCCAGCATTAATATATTCTAGTGTTGTTTCTACTATAAAATCAGTTCATAATAGTGGTAGCAAATTTTTTTTGATAAAAATATTCGAATTAGTATCAGTCATTGTACTTGTTACTATTTCTTTATTACCAGTATAACCTCTTATTATGATTTAAGATGCATTGTACATCCGTCTTTTACCGTTAACATACAAAGCTCTTCTGCCACCATCATTGAAATATGCCTACAAAGAAAACAATGTGATTTTATAATGACCACTTTTGCAAGACTACAAACGATTATACAAAAGAAAAATGTTATGCCCTCCACCTTGTCCGTCACAGATTATCAAGATTTTTCCTGTCACATATATGATTGTTCTCCTTCTTTCACTTGTCATTAGTCATATTGTTTTTCCTTCTCATTATCTATGGAATTGTTGATTATATGTATTTGCGGGTGTGGGTGTAAATATGAGTGTAATTAGCTGTTTCCCTTTGTACGCCCACCCCCAGCCTCAATTTAGTTTTCTTGAATTTTGTTTTTTATTTTACTTTTATTTTTAGATTTTTTGTTTTACAAAAAAGCTCTTTTCTTTTCTTTTCTTCAAAATTGAAATTTCACTCAAAAAATTACTTCAAATTTTTGAATTCGATGATTCAAATAATCAGCAACATAAAGAATTCCCTCATCATCAAAAGATAAACCAGTAGGACCACGGAATCGATTTGATTGATTTCCTTGACCATTTCCACCAACAACAATTTCACCTTCTTCTTTTCCTTCATAACAACGAATTACTCGATGATTCTCCAGATCTGCTACATAGATTTGACCCAAATCATCAACAATTACTCCTTTGGGATAAGACAATTGATTAAGTTTTCCTCCTTGATCATTTCCTCCAGCCACAACGATTCCTTCGTTTGCATCTTTTCTCCATTTCATTACACGATGATTCTCAAAATCTGATACATAAACAGATTGATCATCATCAACAAAGATAAAAGTAGGCCAATTGAGTTGATTCAGTTGACTTCCATTTCCATTTGCCCCTGCCACTATAATTCCTTCGTTGTTGTATTCTCCCATTTTCCATCGTCTTACTTCATTCGTCTTCCAGTCCGAAACATAAAGCGATCCATTTTTGTCCATTGCTAAACCAAAACAGTCAATATCATCAATGAGAATCTGTTGATTTTGACTTAACCATTGAATCAATCGTCTGTTCCCAGTATCAGCAATGATGATCGAATGAGTTTGTTCATCAACAATCACATTTACTGGATGATTCAACTGATCTATTCGATTTCCTCGACCATTTCCACCTGCAATGATTTGTCCTTCTTTTGTATTACATTTCCATTCAATAATACGATGATTGGAACAATCAGCAATGAAAACATTTTTCTTTTTATCAATATAGATTCCTAAAGGCCGATTGAGTTGATTTAATTGTTGTCCTTCTCCATTTCCACCAGCCACAGTGATGGCATCTTGTTTCCATTTCTTAAATTTTGATACTAGAAAATAATGAAAATAAAAGATTTTGATGAAAAGAAGAAGAAAATTTGTTTTTGATCGAAGAAAAAAGAAAATATTAGTTTTCAATGAAACTTTGATTTTGTTTCTTTGTCAAACTTGAATTTTGAATATAATATTGATAAAAATATATAATGAGAAGACAAATTTTATTTGATATTTTTTGTTAAATTTTGAAAAATAATTCTACTAAAAAAGAATATAAAACATTTGAAGTTCTGTATTTGGAAAATAAATTCTTTTGAAAAATATTTTGAAGGTGCGGGTGCGAATGATTCTTCTAATATACCCTCACCTCAAAATTCGAAAAAATAGAACAGAATTGTTCTGTTATGGAAATGATACTTTCAGATACTGAATACTTGTGTTCTGTATTTAATTATTAATTCTTGCTTGGGCAACTGTATATTTTCAGATATCTTCAGGTGAAATATAGATGCGTAAGTGAGCTACAAATTTGGAATTTATGTGTGGAGCTTATTTTGTTTTTGGACCCAAGAAATATGCCAGTTTTTATTTTTTTCTTTAGTAACAAAACTTTACCATTCATTTTTGTTGTATGAGAATTAATCGACGTTGTATGAGTTGATGTTTTTGTTGATGACGTTGTAAGCATTGTTGTCGATACATCAATTGCAGTCGTAGTTGTTTTGGCTTTTTGAATGAAAATAGCCAATACTGTAATACTAATGATAGTTATTAAGGTAAGAACAACAATGATAATTAAAATCAATATTGGTTTTCGATGGAACAACGATCTAAAACCATAGATATATTTCGCATAAATAAATCAAATACTTACGATCCTGTTTGTGGACGAGTAGATTGCCTTATATTATTTTTAATCTCTGATTGAGACTAAATATTAGAAAAAAAACTATTCATTTAGAATTCTTTAAAAAGTGTTAATTGTTCTCGTAACTATAACTATCGAATTTATTCTATCTATTTTCAAAATTTATATAATGTCGAATAAAGATAAGAATATGTTTAACAGTTTTTTTAATCCTGTGTGAAAGTTCTCAGAAAAAGAACTGAAATAAAAATCTAGGTTGAATCAATCATTTCTATGTAAAATATTTTAGTTTGAGATGACATTAAAAATAATGCACCGATTTATGATGATATTTTTCTTATTGATGAGAATAAATTTATTAGTAAAAAATATCAGTGAGCGTGAAATTTAGTGACATTATTTATAGTTTGTTTAATGTAAAGAAAAAACATCTAATATTTATTTCTGTTTGCTGAGATAAGTTGTCTTCCATTCTTATTAACGGAAAACTATTCAAAAAGCGATTTGTACACATTCTGCATATCTGTTTTTCATACAATGAAAATAATTCTTTCAGATCTTGCTTTTTAATAAAGAATTTTAAAAAAAAAACGGATTAAATCATGTCAAGGGTGTGAGTATGTATACGAATAGGTATGAGTGTGGGTGTGAGTATGAGTAAGGGTATGAGATTCATCATATGCCCACACCCACACCCAAATACTAAACTAGCACCCTTAAACATAACATCACTTACACTATATTCTGGCGATACATCATATGCAGTCGCCCGTTTTGTAGCCAACTCGACATCTTCTTCTTCGTCTTTGTCAATAAGAGGTTTTTCCCATTCCATATTTTGATAATTAGGTTTAGGTAACTTTCTCAGCGTTGACTGTGATAATACCGTAGTTGTTACTTTTTTTCCTGGTGATGCTGATCGTGGTTCTAAAAAGGTGAAATCAATTAAAAAGAATTATTAGAGGTGCATTGTTAGTTTATTTCTCCTAAAACACTGGCACTTATATTATAGAAATCGCGTGATATAGTTACCGTTATCTGATCCAATTTGACTAAGGAATTCTTTCGACCTAAGTCACAAATATGAATACGCTGTTAAAATGCTTTATTTGGCAAATTCACAATTAAAAGTAACGCTAACCAGAACTGTAAATACACTTAGAATTGAGAAATCATTTAGGGCATAACATTTCTTGCGCAAAGAAAATAAGTTTCAGATAAGAAAATTTTTAATTGTAAAATATATTTTCTTCTAAAACTGAATGTGGGTGTGGGTGTTGCAAAAATACGCGTAATCGCATCCATACACACTCACCTTCGAACACCAATGTTTATTGTATCAGTTGTTAGACCTATGGAAGATAGTGATACTTGATTGCGCTTTGACTGATTTATCTAACTATGAATGGAAACTTGATTTAGCAAAGAGCTCAAAGCCTATAGAATATTTTATCAACAACTTCTTTTGAGAAAAATTAGCAGTCATAATCCAAATAAAATCTATAATATCATCTCAAGACTCTTATGAGATAATATCTATACCTTTGATTGTGTATTAAAATGTCGTGTTTATTTTGAAAAACAAAATGAAAAGGTAAACGGTAACCATCTTCTTATATACAATCCTTCTTTATCTTTTTATTTTACTTCCGAAATTGGTATATTTGAGTTTTTTCCTCACGTTATAATAGGTATCTGTTACATTTCATTTATAACAAAGAAGAAGAAGACCTTTTGATAATAGCTAGGATGGATTACAATAAGACAATTTAAAAACTTATCTTTTAACATGTAATATGATACTGATCATGAAATGAGAAAAAACAAAACACGATTCACATTTGAAAATCACAAAAACTCAACAAGAGTTCATCGGAAATTATTCTTGGTGCTCATTCTTAAACAATATAAAAAATATCTGATCACAAAAAATACGTTTAATAATAAGACTTTACATCAAATAAAGTGATATTTAATACATTAGTAAAATAGTATTGTTCAAGGAAAGTAACTCGAAGAGTATTTTATCTACGTACACCAATAAAGCAGAGGTGTCCATCGTGATTAAGAATGTGCCGCTGCCACACCGCCATGGACATCTCTGTTTCATAGATAAAAATCGTTTGAAGAATAAAAGCCTGTTAGAAAAGAATATAAAAAAATTCAGTCCACAACAATATTTTTAGTCAATTGTCGATACAATCTTTGTTCTGAATCTTTCTTCTCTTCCGCTATAGTGTTTGCTTGTATAAGATACTCATATTCTCTAATTGTATCTTTTTTCTCTTCCAATTCTTCCATTTGCTCCATAAAAATGTGCGTGTGTTCTGCAATGATATCTGGATAACGACTTTCTAAATAATTTATCCAAAATTCCTTATCCGAGATAAAATTAATCAAAAAATCATCTCTAAAATGATCCTTTTCATGTTGAATTTTTCTAACCGCTTGTTTTACATCATCATGAGTGGCTGTTGATAATTCTGGATAACGCATATAATGTAATCTTTCACCATCTAATGGCATCTCTAAAGTATTTTCTGGTGAAGCATAAAAAAATAAGACTGTTTCAAGTGTATCAGCTTCTGTAATTTCTGTAGTCGTTGCTTGTTCGTATGCATATTGTTGTGAATGTAATAAAGCAATTTCTTGTAAACGATAAAAATTAAAGGCTCGTTCCATCTCCTGACGTACTTCCTCATCAGATAATTGTAAAGCAATTATTCTTTCTTCCACTTGTTTAATTTCCATTTCGAATAAAGAAAATAATATACCATCATAACACGTTGCAATAACACTCTGTGCTTTCTCATAACAACGTATACGTAGACTTGAATTTTTTGCCATTGTATCTAATAGTATACCAATACGTTCTGTAAATGTTTCATAATGGTTTACAACTTGTGGCTGTTGAAGAATTTCTTCATAACGTGCTACCCACATCTCCATATAACCTGCTCCACTTTCATGTCGAAATATTTCTTCCCATCGTGCTGCAAATTCCGAAGAAAACTTACCAAATGATGCTGGTGGAATTTGATCTTCTAAATCAAGCTCTTCAATACTATGAATATTTTCAGGAAATTTAATAATACGATTGTGAGATAATATTACTGTTTCGATTTTTGGTAGACGCGCTAATTCTTCTGAAACATAATGAAGTTGGTTACAAGCACCATTGAAGAGTTCTAATTTTTTGAATTCTTGTATAGTATCAGATACCTCTGTTAATATATTGTTGGAAACATTCAATAGTCTTAAAGCTGTTAAATTTCCCAGGATCTTTGGTATTTCTACAAAATAATTGTTAGCAATCGATAAAAATTCTATATGTTGCATTTTTCCAATAGCATCAGGAAGTGTGCTTAGAGAGAGATATGATAAATCTAGTGTATCAGAACGTTGTTTATAACAATCCATAATTCTTTCCTTTGCTTCTAGATCTTGGGCATAATCTTCAGGATCTTGCCATTCTTCTAAAGCTTTGATTATTTCTCGTATAGTCATAGGTTTTGGAGATGATCGTTGTACAAGTTGTATTTGTGTAGATTGCATGTTGATCGTATTTGTTCGTTGATCATATTCTAATGTTGTCGAAGAACTTTGCAGCGGCGTATTGTTTAAACGAGCTTGATATAAAATGGACTGATTTTGCCGTCGATTTAATCTTAAAGCAGTTCCACGGATCATAATAAAATTTCACACTTCTCTAAAATATAAGAAAAAATATTTTTTCCAACTATTCAGGTGCGTATATATATATAATTTAAAAGGTGAGTTCTACTGGCGATACTTCAACTTTTAAGTTTTAAGTTCTCAAACGATGACGATAACGACGACGAAGAGGAAGTAATAAAAGAATAATATATTGGACGTCAGATTTTTATATTACTATACCTTCGACTTCAAAAACATGATGAAACGCTGAGGAATGTAAGTATTACATGTCGTCTCTATCGATTCAAAGTTACACGAGAAATGTTTTTATCTGTTAAAAGAAACTCAATGTAAATGAAACAACTTCTACCGTCGTTTTTATATACCGAATATGAGTCACTAGTGACAAAATCGTCGAACGAAAAGTTTCATTATATTTTATTCTTATCTTTAATGACCCGAACTTTTTTATTGTCATAAAAAACCAAGATATGTAGGCGTTGTATAATAATCTTGGAAAGAATGTGTTTTAGAAGAATAGAAAAAAAAACATACAGATAAAATGAATTAGGCAACCTCATGTGATAACAAAAAGTCCGAGAAGGACTAATAGATTGAGTATATATTTTCTCATTTTGTGTACTTTGACAGTACAGCTCAATCAAAATATTTTAGATTTTTATATAAATTACAAGTCCATTAATAAAAACAAAATTATTACAGAATAAAAGCATGAAAGCGGATGAGGGTGGGCGTATTTATAGTGGTTAAATTACAATCAAAAATATTCTTTTTCATGTTTTTACATTGATGGACGAATTGCACATTTTTCAAATGAAGTAAACTATGCTAATATTATCCTTCAACTTCTACCAAGTAAAAAACTTTTTCTTTTTGACTTTCGATATTTTTCGTAAAATCCGTACTTTAGTAATGACATATTCTACTTGATGCATGTAATCATCAAATATTTTCTATGTGTATTTACATTGGCGGATGAAAATTGATTAGGTATTTTTTATAACTTTTTTTCGTTCCTTCTATTTGCATGACATCGCATACTACCTTAGTCACTACCTTCTTCCGTTTTTTTTTATTTACTCATTCAAAACTAACGAACCATATCGTTATCAACGTTTTCAAGTTGGAAATTTGTTTGTCTAAATATCTATATAAAGAGGAAGAATCATGTAGAAAAATAAGTCATTCGTTTTTTACTTATCACAGTCTATTTGTATCAATTTAGTTTCGATCATTTTCAGTATTATTATCAAGTTAAATCATGTCGTTCGGGTAAGTTTCTAATGATTTTCACTGCATAAATTATGGAGTTTTGTCTTAGAACGTATAATTATTGGGCACAACAACAACAGCTCGTAGCAGATCATTCGAGAGCATCAAGAGCTCCAAGAATAGTTGTTATTAATGAAAAAGATCCCAAAAAAAGTACAGAGAAAGTAGTCACTTGGTTGCTTACACATTATCCAAATTGTAAAGTAATTCAGATGGCAATCGTAAAACAAAATCATCGAATATATACTCGAGTGATCTTTCAAACAGCTCAAGGTCAACGAAAGATTATTCTTTTCGATGAAACCGCATCATATCTAAACCGTGAAGGTGGATCCACAAGTCTTTTTCCAACTGGAACAGTGGCTCGTCTAAATCCAGGGACAGGATCAATCCCCACAAGGATACAAATCGTTCAACACTGAATTCATTAGTGCTTTCATATGATAGATCCGAATCATTTTTCATAAAATCTTTTCACAACTCACACTATTTTATTTGTTTAAATAATAATATAATCCAGATCTTTGAAAAGAATGTTTTTCTTGTGTTTACTCGTACTTAAAAGAGTATGAGTATGAAAATGATTGGATAAATAGACATAAACTATATCTAAGCTGTTTGTGTTTGGTGAGTTTGTATAAGAAACTTTATGTATTTCCCTTTCGCCAGTTACAGTTCAGACTAAAGAGTATCGAATAGACGCCTACACACATAAACCTAAGTTCTTTGGCAATCAAATTAATTTTTGTAGAGTTTTGAATAAATAGATGTTTAAGAAGTAATTGAGGATTTCGGGTAAATTTAGATGATCAAGTCACGAATAAAATTTTATCTGAAACACATCTTTTGATAGAGTCTATTCTTTTAACACTCTTCGAAACTTAAAAAACACAAAAAGTTGTTGAATGTCATATAGAAAAATAAATATTGTTATAATGCCGTTCGATGAAGCTCATTTTCAATCTTAAAAATATTGTTTTGAGGTGGTTCATAATGTTTCTTTTTCGGAATATTGTTTTTTATTCGACAGCATTTACACAAATCTGTTATTAAGATGGGTGGTTTTCCATACGTTGGTAAAGATTTTGTTGATTCAACTTGAACTCTTCCTGGTGCTACACCATATTGACCACTCAATGGCAGAAACCAGAACCAGTTTTCGTCTCGTAACGTTGCAAATATATAATAACAAGCACCAACAAAGTATACAATGTCTCCATAGGTATATAATAGATTAGTACCATATTGTTCAGGTTGAACATTAATTTGTATATTATAAATCATATAAATAATCGAACTGATTGTTGTTGCTAACCACGCGACTGTATCTGGATCATCCAAAGTAAAACCACGACCTAATGTGCGCACATAAGTCATGTACCATGACATTATCCTATTTGAAAAAATCGGTAAAATATCCAGAGAAAAAAATAGTTGTATTGAAAAATGAAAAAGTCTCCGAAAAGAACGACCTGCTTAAGAATTATTTCTACATGATACTAATGTTGAAATCGAAAAGGAGTTTGATGATCGTAGAAAATAGAAAAAAACCGAATTCAATCTCTACGTTAGAACTCTTTTCTAGATATAGAAGACCGCTTTTGAGACATCGTTTCGTTTACCATCCAAAGGAAGCTATTAATTCAACAGTAGCAGCTGTCATTTCTATTTTGTGTATGGCTAATGTGTAATAACCTCCCAGTGTATCCTCTCTTGAATACCATATGGCCGACCATAGATATAATCCTGCTTCTACATGATTTAAATATTCAGGTATCATTATGATATCCAGCCATGATCGGCCAGCCCATGACCACCAATAGAGAAAAGCTGATAGGATATGAACCGCCGCCAGACCTTAGAAAGAAACACTACGATACTAAGATTTGTTTTTAATCAATCTCTTACCGATATAGAATCGATTTACAAGTGGAAGACCGATTACTGGTTGATCGAGAACAGAAATCATTGTTGTTGTATTATCGTCATAATCATAATCCATAGTATTATCGGAAGATGATCCATTAACATTCGGATTGAAATCAATAATTAAAATCCCAATAGCATAGACCAGATAAACTAGATTAGCAAGCATATATCGACTTCGAATCGTTTTCTTAAAGCATACTGGTACTCGAGTTTGTATCTGTTTCCATCTTAATGCTTGCCAAATACTATCAAATGATTCGAGTTCGTTATAAGGTGCCGTTGGATCATTTGCTTCATCATTGCTATTGATTGTATGCGTTTCTTCACCGTTGATGACCATGTTATGCCAATGATTTTATTATTTTTAATATGCATAAAATTCACTTTTGTCTTATGTCAACATAATTCATTTTCTCCCTTAACATTATTGCTTCTTTTTTATATATTCATTCAACAGAATGAAAAAAGTACATTAAAAAACAGGCAACGTTTGCATGGGTATTGGTATAAACTAGAAAAACTTTAATAATCACTAAAATTTCTAAATATAGCTCAGTCATCATTTTGCCAGAGCACACAAACATCTCTTGGCTTGGATAATGTTTAACAGAAAAAAAAACAAGTGACATTCTGGATTGATTAATAAAAATCCGTTAAATTGTCTAATAGCTTACCTTTCTGCTCTCATAAAATCAGAAAGAAATGTTCTCGCCGTACACAACAACAAACAGCACATTTTTTGCTTTTCTTCCAACAACGACGTGTAATTATATGACGAAGATATTTGAAACGAGGGAACTGATTTCGATCCGCTCTTACTTTCTTTTCCATTTCATCGTCGAAAAAAGAAATGAGGAAATACAAAAAGACAAAATGTAGTTTACTCTACTTTTTTCATATAATTTTCGTTATTCATATCTGCTCGATCTGTTTACAATCATGTGTAGATTAAGCTTCTCGTCTATTATTGCATTGTTTTGATTTCTCGATTGTGTCGGACATCATTGTCCTTGAAATTTGAAAGAATATTAAGAAAATCGCCAAATAACAAATAACGAATGAAACTATAAAAGTCTTCAGCTGAATTTTTAATAGTGTAAAAATTTTGTTGATATCGTTATATTTTTCAGCAAAATTTGAGTGTGGGTCAGAGTGGATGTGGTGAACATAACACTGTTACTAACACTCACACCCTCAAGATTCACTGAATTGTGTTCGAAAGATGGCAGAAGTCTACGAACTAGATCAGTGATATATTTTTTTCAATAGTTGTTATTCGATTAATATGGCCAACCAATTATGAAGAAAGTAACATTTATAATCTATCAACTGATGAGATTTCTTTTATTTTACTCAAATTGAAATAATAAAATTAATTATCTTTAGATCTATAAATGACATTTTGGCACGTATTTCCATCACCACCAACAGGCAATAATCGTCATATCGAACTTGCCGGTACCGATCTATGGATTACAGGATCTATTAATAATGTATTTGTATATCCGTCAGGTTTGAATATCGATAAATTCAAAGAAACACTTAGTCGAACTCTCTCCTTGTGGCCATTTATCGCTGGTCGTTTTCTAGTACTCGACAATGAGCATTACATAATTGAAATGTCCGATAATGCCATTCCACTCTCATTCATCGAAAATATTGATCTTACAAAATGGCCTCTTGATTCGAACGTTGTAGTTGACAAGAATTCAAATCAACTTCAACCATTTTTAGATGAAGTAAAAACTACAAAATTAATAGGTGGTTCTCAGGATGAACCACTTTTCCGTTTGAAACTTACTCATATTGTACAAAGTGGAGAATGGATAATGGGTGCAAGTTGGTCACATATCTTAGGAGATGCTGATGGTTTTTTACAGTTTTTAAAAACGATTTCACATTTATATCAAAACATGGAACCACCTAAACCAATACCTGTCTTCGAAAGACAATTATGGTTTGACAACGAAGTCGATGAATTTCTTTTACCTGATATAAAAGAATTCTTAGATGATGATCAAATGAAAACAGATTGTACAAACAATCCAATAACATATGTTCAACTCAATATTTGTTTTTCCGGAGAACAACTCAAAACATTACGTAAATTGATCGATGATCAACATGTGAGTACTCAAGATGTCCTGAGTGCTTACATTATTCTTATACTTAATAATCATTGTACACAAAATAACGAGCAACTAATTGTACGTACAAATACAATTATTAATTATCGTAATGAATCCAATCCGTTTGGACCACTTGGTCTTATTGCAAATGCTGTTTTAATGCCATTATCTGATTGTTTTGAAGACCCAACATCTCTATCAAGTATTGCCAAAACTATTCGTCATTCAATTAATCAATCTCGTAATATCGAATTCGTTAAACATTGGGTAGCCACTGCTGATAAAGTAATGCAAACAATAATACGCGAGAATCGACTTCCTAAAATGTCAACTTTTAAAGATCGAATTGTACTTAATTCTAATTTTCGATATGATTGGGCGAATCTCGTTGATTTTGGTCATACAAATAAATGTCGATTTTATACAACATGGACTCGTGCATTGTATCTTCGTATATTTCGTCTCAATCCAATATATGATGGCACTCGATGGATGGGAAGAGATGAAAATGGAGCTGAAGTAGCCTTTCGTATTGAAGAAAATAAGAAGAAAAAATTTATCGATACATGGCAGAAAGATATTGCCGAAAATTTTATTAATATAAAACTATAAGATATATTTCGTAATAAATATCATAAAAATAATTCTTTTGATGTTATTTATACTTCACTCATAGTCATATCTTCACATTATTAGCTTAGCAAACGAAAAATATGTGTTATAGCAATTATACTCACCGACATGATGTCGATAAACCATCAAAATAAATTATTTTCAATAGAAATCAAATACAAAAAAAAACTGAACGTTCATAAAATTTCACATGTTTGCGATTTTCCTTCTGTTCGCTTTGTATTTAGTTGTATTGGTGCTGTTTGTCTACTGTGTTCGACAATCAATTTTCGTAGACAATTCGCAAACTTATTGAACTGGTGAAGTAACAATATTTTGCCATTATATCGCTTCGAAAATTCTTCTGCATAGCTTTTATATTGTACTTTCTCATCATCCTGTAAAACTTTAGCAAAACTCAACAGCTCTGAACCATCAATAAATTGACAAATGTTGTACAATTCAATCATAATTTCATTCTCATTAAACCATTGTTTAATATCAGCTTTATCCCAAGAAATAATTGACTTTCGTAATAATATTTTTGTTGTACTAGGAAAAAGCTCGTCATGCCTTGCTTGTGTTGTCAGTATTGGTAATTCATGATGTACCGGAGGAGAATTATTTTCACTAGACGATCCGGAAATCAATTGTTGTAAAGTTTCCATCAATTTTGTTATTTTTGCTTGCTCGAATTTGTCTTCATCAGCAAATCTAATATGAGTCAAATCACATGTTCTAATTTCTAAAAAAATTGAGAAATTCTTTTTGAAACAAAAAAAAAGCAAATAATATCTACCTAACCAACTAGGTACATCAGGTTTTAAAATAAATACTGGTAATAACGTTTTCTCTAATTTATCAATTGCATAGATAACTTCACGACGAACAGATTTACTGGTATAATTTTTCGTTATAAGACACAAAACAACATGTGCTTGTTTTATTCCATCTGCGATACGTTCCCAAGAATCACCTGTCGTACAATAATTTTTATCAATCCATACATCATATAATTCAGTTCGTTTTAATTCTTCTTCAAGTTGATAACATAAAACTTTGTCATCATGAGAATAACTTATCATAATCATTGGCTTTGAATTACTTTTACTCATATTATCAGCAATAGAAATTTTCGTTTGTGAAACTAATGCATCATCAGCTGATCCTTCATTAATGTTCAATAGAATTCCTACAGCAGCTGTTTGAATATTTTCAATATATTTAGGTACATATTGTGTGCTATCATTTAAGCTATTCGTATTATTAAAAAGTTCTTCTAATAATTTACAGAGTTTTTGATTATTTTTCAATTGTCGTTTATATTGATTATGTTCTTGAAAAGAAATACTCCAAAGAATATTGACGACAGCAGTACACGTGAGTTGTTTTAATGGATCTTTTTCATTTTTAACAACAGAATTAAATTTGAGTAATAATTCGATGAAAAAATCCACTGTTGATGACGCATCTAATTCAACTTGAGCATGTTGAAGAATGTAATCAAGTGCTCGATCATCATTGAATAATTTTACTAATACAACCAATGGTTCTGATATATGAAATCCACCATCTTTATAATCTTCTGATTTTGATGCATCTGAAACACTCTTCAAAAGTTGATCAAGTACATTATTCATACGTTTACGATCATTTTTAATTTGTTTTGGTGTTAATAGTAAAGCTAAACTCATCGAACAAAGAAGATTAATAGTAGGATCTGTAGTCGAATTTTGAACTTTTTTTATTACACTAATCGCTTCTAAGGAATTCAAGACAGTGATACCATCATCATGACGACTTGTATTATGAATAATACTGATAAATGCGTGTATAGCATTTGATTTTAAATATTTTTCCTATAGAATGAAAAGAAGTGAATTATTTTCATAACAAAAAAATTGAACTTACTGATAGAATAAATTCATAAGAGTCGAATGGTTTATCTTGGCTAAAAATAGAACATAATATCTTGTGAAAATATATCGATATAAAAGTGATGATTTACCTATCTACAATAGTTAACCATTTTAATATAGCTTCTGGATATCCGGTTTTAATTAAATTAGGTACTACAATTGTCTTGTCTGAATAACTCCAAAGAAAAGTTAATATTAATTGTGTTGTGTGCGTATAATTCGATGATAGATCAGATTCGAAATCAGATTTTATATAATTTAACAGTAACAGTAATATTTCTTGATTGTTATGTGATTCTTGTAAATCAAAAACAGTAAATTTTGCATGAGAACTTGTCGCGGCCATACAAAAAAAGAATAATTGCAGCGAGTTGTTCATACACTAGTTTAGTATAATTCTCGGTATCTGAGCGTTTCAAAAGAATCTTCATTCCAGGTAAATTAAGTAAACGTATATATAAATAAAATATATCGTATGCAAAAACTGAATCGGCTTTGAACAATGCATGCATGTTAATACTGTCTAATAGTTGTATGAATGTTTGAAATGTTTTTTCAATTTTTGAAAATATTTCATTGTCCACTGTATTCTTGTCAAGTAGTATAATAAATTCTTCTAAAAATGTTGCACCATTGGATAAGATATGTCTACGAGAAGCTTCATTTTCATTTGTATATTGTAAATTTTGTAATTTTGTTAGTACATTGGAAAATACGTTATCTGATAACTCGTTCGTGCTTAAATCGAATTCTTCATCCATATTTCTTCAAAAAGAATGAAGTTGAACATGTAAAAGAAACTTGCATTTGTATTTGTTTTCACTTGACAACGCAAAATATCTGAAATTTCTTCTTTTCTTTCTTTTATTTGAGCAAGAAAAACAAATAGACGTTGGCAGTTGTCAATGATTCACTACGCCAATCTGCGTTAATAAACAAGAATGAAACTATTTGTCACTCATGTACGCTTGAAGTTTTTTAACGTTTGATGGTGTGAGTACACTAAAATATATTCACACCCACAACCTCGAGAAATTAACATTTATATTTATTTCAATTTATTAAATAACCCACCACCATATATATGTAATTAGAAATCATGAAAAATTAAACAAAACAACAGAGAAAATTAAAAAAATTAAAAGCGAGATTATTATATTTTACAATTCAAAGCATCCCTCACGAAAAGGTAGTTCGTATCATTAACAAGTTTCTCGAAGAATGTGTCTATTATTGCATTGTTTTGATTTCTCGATTTCGTCAGACATCTTTGTCCTTGAAATTTCAAAGACTATTAAGAAAAAATTTAATATATTTGTTGTCTATTTTCTTTCAGCTCTTCTCTAAATTCTGTTAGTAACAATAGCGAGTGATTTTGATCGCCAAACAACAAATAAATATTGAAACTGTAAAAGTCTTTAGCTGAATTTTTTTAAATGTGAAAATTTTATTGATGTTATTATATTTTTTCAGCAAAATTCTGGTAGATATAAGCTGTATGTCTATTTCGATGTATAATATGATTCATATTATGCAACATGAAATAGAAGTCTAAGAGGAGATGTGAGCGAATTATTCCGATCGATTCTATTTCATATCTTCACCTGTGTCATTCATCAAAACGAAAGGAGATTTAACTTGTTGTATACTGTAAAACTATGATAAAGACTAGACAATGTATGATTGATTTTATCAGTAACAATTCTCAAGTAAATGAATATCATTTAGATATAAAAATCAGCATTGAAATAATGCAACAAAACCTTCTTTTTGAAGGTGTGATTATTTTATTCTTCTCATGCTATTACGCAACTGAATCTACACTCAATTAGTTAAATAAACAGAAAAACAGAAAGAATTATTTGAAGAATAAAAAAAGCGATGTATTTATTTATTGCTTCAAGTTAGCCGGAAATTCATATAATTAAGTACATGCATTATTTTTAAAATTATTTCGAAGTAATCTAATCATTAATGACTTAAAATTCGAAGAATAATATTTATTTTTTAATGAAACACATTTTAACATCTAGCGAGAGAATAATCGAAGTGATGACATATTCTTCTCTCTATTTCTCAGTAAATAATAACACTGGATTTATACTTAATTTAATTACAGTTGTTAATGTTTACAGCAATCATCGTTTTATTTAATATTCAAACGTTGTTAGGTGATTTTAAAAAAACAAAACTTCGAATCATTGTCATGCAAACATGCAAGTCAAATGTAGAACTGAGAGTAATATTTTCATCGAATTACAAGAAAAAAAATTCAACTCTATTTTTTGGTTGTTTTATAATTAGAAAACAATGTATTAGATATAAAATGTTGTAAAAATTTTTGATCTATAATATTGATAAAAAAGTATCATTATCTGAATCAAGTTGGTTAGATACTAAATAGTTTTCTTTTTCAATATTCAATATAAGAAATAAATCATCTTCAAGTAAATTCTATTGATTGTTGTTATGTAACTATATTAGATTTATTATGTTTTTATTCCTTATCATATTAATTTAGTTTTGAAAAGAGACGACTGTCTAATCTAACACATCTTTATAAAAACAAAAGTAATGTACAAACAATTGCACATTCTTTCATATAAAAATTACCGACACCGATGAATAATTGCTTTAAAAAAGTTATGTTTATTCGAAGGTGTTATATATAAACGTATGTGACCGATACACTTCATTGCTTTATTCGTGAATGTTAATTTCTTTTGTGTGGGTGTGCCAATAATTTTTTATACTCTTCATCGATCGATCTGTTCTGCTCTTTCCTTCCGGCTATAATTCATCATTGATATGGATCATTGACTAATCATACAATGTCAACTCTTCTATGTTATTTCTTTCTTCTTGTCTGAGTTCAATAAACGTTATTATCTTGAGTTTCTTAATAAAAATATGAACTCGATTAAAAGATCATCAAGTTTTACTCAATTTTCAAAGAAATTACGAAGTAAGTTATTTAATATAATTGACATAAATTTATTTTTATTTATATTTGATTAGATGAATCTAATCGACCAGTAGTTTCTATCGAAAATTTATCCGACGAAATTTTTTATGAAATAT